AGAGACTTTATCACTTACATGCCATTACTGTATCCTCAGACCCGCTTCTGGAGAAACATGCCAGGGACCCCAAACCCAAGGCTGAGCAGGCAATCCCCAAGGCATGCTCAAATACACTCTAGAGAATTAAGCTGTGTTCTCAAATAAGAAATGTAACTGAAAACCCCTAAAGCCATTTAATTGAGACTATAAAATCCCCAGTCCTCTCAAGAGCATCAACATTTTCATCTGAAATGTCAGAATGAAATTAAAAAGCAGAGATTTCATTGAGAACTACAACAAACCAACATATTCAGGCTTTCATTTCAAGACAAATTCCCACAGTTCTTAGTCATGTTGGATGGGGCTTCAAGGCTGTTTTGAAATTTAACCAAGGATCATTATGTTTAAAATTTCTAAGACAAGTACAGAAGACAAAAAGGTTCCTTCCACCTTGCCCCCATGGCTGGCACAGTGAAAAGGGACCATCACATAACCAAGGGAACACATTGCTCTGGTAATGCTAAGAGTGGGCAACAGTCCCATGAGCTCTTCCCATAAAACTAACAATTCTTTACCTACTACTGGCCTACAGAACATTAACACTATATAAAAGATATATAAATATATATGTAAAAATTATATACGATGTGTATACAAAGATCTATGTATACACACACTATACTATATATACACATTATATACAAAGAAAAGTCTCATTTAGGCTTGAAAGAACAACACAAGCTTGAAAATAGAAAACTGTTCATGTTCAAACATGAAGCTTGTTAAATGAAGGACGGAGAAGACCATCCACAGTTTTTCATGTGATTTTACAGACATATTTAACATCTTGCACTAATTAATGCATTCCCTGAATCACAGGTGAGGAAATTGTGATCCTGAAATTATGACTTACGTTGAAAAATCATGAAAAAAAAACCAAAAACAAAACAAAACCCAAGAAAAAAGTATTTGGAACAAGTCCAAAGCAACAGAGGCAGCCTGGACCCTCCTTGAGGAGAAAAACTGCTCGGCTATCAAAGAAAGAAAAATTATTCAAGATTGTGGGGAAAATCCGCAAGATACCAGCACCTACTCCCACCAACACTACTGCCCCTGCGAGCAACTGCTGGTGGCATCAAGACCAAACCCATTAGCAAGCACAAGGCTAAGCGTATGAAGGTACTTTCAAGGTTGGCCATTCATATAGCACCCTTTGAGAAACGGGGCATGACTATGTGCCCTAAGACTATTCCGTGATGACCCGCACAAAATGAGGACAGTATCGACACTGTAATTTTCCTTACCTTTGGTGTATCCTGATATTTGGTATTTCACCACTCGTTCTTAATGTTCTAGTAGCTCTAGTTTGGCCTAGACCAGTAATTGTCATGTTCACATTGCCCTTCTCCCTCCCAGTGAATTCTAGAGTACTTGGGAAAACTGGCAAGAGGCTTGCCTAGCACACCCACCATCTGTAACATCCACACCCTGTGATGCCACTGAGTGCGTGTGATTTTGTAGTTACAAACAGAGCAAGAAGATGGCTCAACGGACTAGTAATGAAACTGAAATTCTTCACCTCTAGGTCACTGGTTCAAGTCTGTTTCACAGAAGTTCAGACACATCACTGAAGAAAGCCTGATGAGTTTGGTTATTTCTTTGTTTTGCACCTACACCTTAGAAAGCTCTACAACCCGCTGCTGAGATTCCAAAGGCTGAGCAGACTGAATGTCTCTTTCTAGGTAGCACATCATCAGCACCCTGTGAAATGTTAATGCCATTGCTCTGACCTCGATAGAAGACGATGGATGCCAAAACCACCGTGGTGGGACCTACGAGGAACAGTTTAGTCTCTCACTGAGATGCTGCCCACTCCTCTGAAAAGTCCACTTCTTCGGTGAGGAGCAATACCAAAAGGAGCTTTTCTCCATATTGTAACTCCAAGGTGCCTTCTGTGCCAACTCCGTATCTGCCTCCAAAAATCTTCTTTCCTGGTCATTTGGGAGTCTCCCCAGCCCCCCTCGGCATTCCCCTTGCATCTGCACAATCCTGTCACAGCCATCCCCACAGTGTGCTCCACAAACTCCAGAACCTCCCCTGAAAGCATCTCCTCCCTCTGACATTTCCTTCTCTGCTGTTAATTCTCCAACTCTGGAAAGTATGTGAAGTAAATGTTGTATGGAGGAGGCGATTTTAACAGCACCCTAGAGCAACACTGAACCCAAAGTTTCCTCCTTTTCCCAAACACAATCTCCCCAGGGAGAAAGAGAAAGGGCAGGCAGAGGACCCAGAGGATGGACAGTGGGTCAGCTGTAGAGCAGAGTATCCAGGCAGACAGAGGAGCCAAAGGACATGCTGAGAAGCCAGGACAGACTCCCAAACAAACACTGCTTCGGGGAGCAAAGGTAACAACATGATGCAAGACTGCGAGGTCTTCTACGAGAGTGCTGAAGGCTGGAGACTGGCATATTCCAGAAGAGGGGCAAACTCTCAGGAGCAGCAGGCAGCACAGCGCTGAGCTGGGGTCAGCCCAGGCTGGCAAAGACGGCTTTGTTTAGCTAGAGAGCACCAGGAGTCTGCTGCAGGCCAGCGGTCCCGACTCACCAGCTACAGAACGAGCGTTCACCAGCAAAACAAGAAAGAAACAGCAAAAGGTGACTGAAGTCAACAGCAGCCACTACCCACACCACAGCAGCCACAAGGACAACCTGACACCTAACTCCAAGGCAGAGTCCAAGACACTGCGGCAGCCACCACCGACAGACTCCCCCAGGAACAGGGGCGATGTCAGGAAGGAAGACACAAGGTGAGGCCACAGCCCGAAGACACCATTTAAGACAGGGATGGACAGGCCAGACTTTGATTCAGGTCTTACACCTCTCAGCCTGGTCACTCTACTGCATGTAGTCACTGACATGGCCAAACAAGCCGCATATGGAAAAAGTGGTTTTTTTGTAGCCAAGGCTACTTATGGAAAGTCTCTTTTTTAACAGTTCGTTGTTGGCCTCAAACTTAAACTGCATCAAATCCTCCAGGAGAAAATTCTCCAGCCCTTTTAATACAAACACGGGTTAGGACAAAGCTTTCTGACATCAGGAAAAAGAGCTCCGAAAGCTACGCCCTGGGCAGCATCAACAGCAAAGGACAAGCTATGCTGTGGGTTGGACCACTCTCAAACCTGAAACTAGACAGATCCCAGAAACCGGACCCAAAACAGAAGAGACATCATCCAGCTCCAATACGCATATGTAAAGATCCAAGTGCAGTGGGTAGCAACCAGTTAAAAAAAGACAGGAAAGAAAAAAAGAAAAAAAAAAAAGCTATAAACACCAAATTGAAAACCAACTCCTTGAGCTGCAGGACAACACAGCGCTGTCCTGCGTGCAGGGCTCATCCCTGTCCTCAGCAGAAAGCACAGCACAGTGGTGCTCGGCGGCGCCACAGAAGGGCTGGTGCTCCCAGGGGATGGCAGGGACTGAGGACACCAAACCAGGAGGAAAAAGCAGGCTTGCCCACTCGCTGCTGGGGATAAGGATGTTTATCTGCCCATCTGAACAACATTTACTGAAGTATGTCAGGTCTTCCACTGATCACAACTAGTTTCCCGCCTCCTATAACAAGGTTCTCACTCTCTCTCACCATTTCATTTTAGCCCTTCCTCATTCGCTCCTTTCCCAGTGTACCACCAGCAAGGCTTGGCGCACTGGTTTCCCCAACTCTCAGCCAGCCACCCAAACGGATGAAACAGAAAATTCTGCTCAATAAACCATAAGGAGTCAACCTGGAAGAGGGTACCTAATTGTGCAAAGAATGGAAATGATGATTTGCAACGAAGCCAGCTTGCAAAAAGCCCCAAGACTTTTCTTCAGAAGTCATACGGGAAATGGGAAGGACAGAGAAACTAACCCTTTGACTGAGCTTAATATACTAATGTGTCATTTTCGTGGGTTTCTATGGGCTATCAGGCATCCAGGTAAGGATGGACAGATTATGAAGGCATAAATAAATGTTAAAATTTCTGCTCTCAGGGATATCTGACACTTAGCAACCTACTGCAGATGTGAGACTGCCATCAGAGAAAACCTATGAAAGCCAAAGACATGAACATCTGTTTTAAACCTATGGATGAGAAAGTAAGCACTGACTACAGGTCAAAATGATGTAAAAGATGTACCATGCTCTGAACAAGAAATGGCTCCACAGCTTACTGGCATCTCCAAGAAGAACAGGGATCTTTTATCATAGGCTTGATAACCTGCTGAATTTTATGTGTCTCTAAACAGTGCCTTGGCCAGCTTCTCCATTGATCTTGAAATTGCTTCTGATTTTCTTAGGACAAGTTTAGAGCAGAAGTAGTGGAAGACTACCTGCAGTCTGGTCAAAAATACTACTAGACTGAAAAGAAAACAAGAAACCAGTAGCAGTATCTGAGGACACTGGCTGGAATTGGAGACTAGACCAGGCAATATTGCAGAGCGGGACCAAATCAGCAAGGCTGATTTATACAATAGATATTGGAAGATACAGAAAATTCTAGTATACAGCTGAAAATCACTACGTCTTTTCGGGCAGGGGAAAACCAAACACAAGGACTGTGGACAAAAATGCCCTCTCCCCAGCTGGGTTACTCTCCTAGCTGTGACTATTTCTGACTGAAAAATAATTCCCTTAAAAAGAGGTGCAAGATGTTTCCATGGGGCCACAACAAGAAGCCTGAAGGTCAGCCAAAGCTCAAACCACTCTACTCGTCTCTTGATGGTGTATTTTTCAGTCACTTGAATTGGTTGAAAAGAAATTGGCAGAAGCTGCTACTACCGAACCCCGAGTGTCAGAGGCACTCCCTACTGCAGGCAGAAAGAGCCTGCCCGGACCCCCGGGGCTGGGGGGCTGAAAGGGAGAGAAGCAGGACACGGAGGGCTCCTGCCAGCTGCCTGGGGGCTCAAGGCATCACTGCCACGCCTGGGCTCCTGACCCGCACTGGCTATTTTAAATGTCCCCTTATTTATCTTGTGAACTCTTCAAACAAGAAACTTCCCTAGTCTTTGAGAGGCTTTTTTAAGTACCCTGGCTAGTAAGACCCACGCCACGTATTACATACAGTATTTAAGTAAAAAGCAGAGCATCCTGCTCCAACAGTGAGAACACTCCCCAGCTTTCAGTCCAGTTTGGGCTTTTTTTTCATTTATGTATTTTTATACCAATCTGGTAAAACCAAGCATGCCAAAGACCTTTTAAAGCACTTTTTTAATGTGAACTATGACCAGTGCCAGAGGGAAACCTCAGGACAGAAAGAAACCCCCCCGCTGCTGAGTGAGCTTCCCAAGAAAACCGTTTCACCTAATAAAATGGAGCTTCTCTGTTTCCTCCGACATGCCAAAGACAGTCCTGTTCCTCAAATTTGGGGTACCCTCGTGAAAACAAGATGCCCAACACCCTGGAGCAGCTGGGACAACACCATGTGGTGATGCTGGAGGACAAATACAAACGGGGGCTGGAGAATGATACACACCATGAAGCCTCTGGGATAAAACCAGGAGTGATGGCATTGGGCCAGATCCTGAGAAGGGACCAGGGCGCTCTGCAGAGCGAAGCAGCCCAGGAGATCATTCACTTAGGAACTGCCACAGACTGAAGAGAAAACAAGAAACCAGAAGCAAAGTCAAAGGACACTGGGTAGAACTAGAAGCCAGAGCAGGCAATACTACAGAGAGCTGGTGCTGGTGCTGCAGGCAAACACCAGCCAGGGCAGGGACTTCTTCAAGGAAAACAAGGAGCCCAGAAGAGAAACCTGGCAAGTTAACGTACAAACTGGCCTTGCAATTGTGAATTTGCAGAGACAGAGCTGGCACGGGACAAAATTCGGCTCTTTCCCACCTGAAACAGTCTTGACCTCATATGCCAATAAATCGTCAAGAAAATGAATAGGGCTTTTTCAGTGAGAGGAAGACTGCAACGCCAGCTGACCCCAAGCAAACAGGGACTTTGCATCTCTAGGGAGATCTGAGAGAGGAAAGGACTTAATGAATAAGAGGATTGCCTTTTATTAAGACAAAACATAATACAACATTTTCTGGGGCAAAAATGAGAAAGGTTTGAATACAAATCCTCTGAGTTGGATTTCTGTTTCCTTTATCCCCTCCCTCTTTTCCTGAAGGCTCTAGGAAGAGGCTCTCCATGGGAGAATGGGTAACGAATGCAAAAGCATCACACAAAAGACTGCAACTGTCTACCTCCGAAACCAACCTGCTGCAGCCAGCAGCCTCACAGGCACCAAGTCCCTGCTGCTGCAGCCCACGCCAGCTTCCAGCCTGCTATTTAAATAGGTATGCACAGAGGTACAGAATGCAAAGGCTGAAGGAGAGGGAGGAGCAGGACTGGGGACAAGAGCTCCTCATCCGAGCCTCTCCCCAGCAACGCTCCACCAGCTGAAGCTTTGTTGCAGTGGTTTCACGCCAGCGACACGACGAGGCTCATTCTCCTCCTTTGCTGCTGATGCTCCAGCACAGATGAAAGCTTTCTGACTCATCCAGGGGCCTGGCAGCCCTGCCCATGTGCCAGCAGCTAGACACCCTCATTAAAGGTGCCAAGATTACAACTGCCAGGATCCATACACCAGTTGATGAAGGCCAAAATGCGTAAAAGGGAAAAATGAAAGAAAATGGGGCCTCCACCTGCAGATCTCAAGTGATATTTCAGCACTCAAGAGTTATTTTCCTGCAGTAGTAAGAAATACAGACAGGAAGCACAGCAAAAGGCTGTGCTCAGGGAGCTCGGGGAGCCCCGGGGGCGGGGGGCAGGAGCCGGCGTGCTCCGCGGCACTGCTGCCACAGGCACCAAGCGCGGAGGAAGCAGAAGGCTAAGCTAAACCACGCTTCGAGGAACCAAAGGCTGTTCCTTGTGCAAAGGCATGACAGGCTAGAAAAAGCCAGAGAAAGGAGTTCAGAACAAGATTTGAGGGTGTGCTCCGGCAGCTGCATCCACGTAGGCTGAGCGGGGAGCAGGATGATC